AGCCTTCTGTATATATTCATCTTCTGGATCTTCCTGAAAGTGGCGGCCCCACAGAGTGTGGCAAGTAAGTGTCAGCTAACTTAGAGGCACAGGTGTAGTCCCATGTAATCTGCTTACCATCCTTCCAGAGTAGTATGGTGACTCCATCAGGACGCCTCTGACTTCCTTCAGACTTTAGTACTTAAGGTTCCTGTTCAGCTGGGCTACTGGCTGTGGCCAGATTTCTCTTGATGATGTCGTTGACCTCCTCATGTCTAACATACTTCCCTTCTGATGTATGACAGACGAGATCGTGTAAACCAAATTGATCAGCTGACGCTCTGTCTCAAATGCACCTATGTTCGTCGTGAATTTTCGTTCACCACGAGGCAGGTTAAAACAACACGAGTTCGTTCCCCCGGCTAGTTGCAGTGTTGTTACTGATTAAATACCACTTGTTCGTGGTTACAATAATTATATATATATATATATATTATATATATATATATATATATATATATATATATATATATATATATATATATATATATATATATATATATATATATATATATATATTATATATATATATATATATATATATATATATATATATATATATATATATATATATTATATATATATATATATATATATATATATATATTATATATATATTTAATACACACACACACACATGGTCTCTACGTCCACAGCAGGACTCGAACCTGCTAACTCTGTATCAGAGTGCACAGTACTTTTTGTTAAGCATTTCAAATCTCTTTCGGTGTCCACTGCATGTGGCAGGATTCGATGAAATAACTTTCAAAACGAGCTTGGTGCCCGGGGGTATGGGGTAACATCACTTAGCTTCGGCTAAGCGCCCATACTTACCTTGGGTCTAGCTCAGTGGTAAAGTGCTGTGGACTCTGATACAGAGTTATCAGGTTCGAGTCCTGCTGTGGACGTAGAGACAATGTAAATAATTTCGCCTGTTTGCGAATTGTTAAAGATATATATATATATATATATATATATATATATATATATATATAGATATATATTTCACACACACATATTATATATAAATATTTTTTTTTATTATCACACTGGCCGATTCCCACCAAGGCAGGGTGGCCCGAAAAAGAAAAACTTTCACCATCATTCACTCCATCACTGTCTTGCCAGAAGGGTGCTTTACACTACAGTTTTTAAACTGCAACATTTACACCCCTCCTTCAGAGTGCAGGCACTGTACTTCCCATCTCCAGGACTCAAGTCCGGCCTGCCGGTTTCCCTGAACCCCTTCATAAATGTTACTTTGCTCACACTCCAACAGCACGTCAAGTATTAAAAACCATTTGTCTCCATTCACTCCTATCAAACACGCTCACGCATGCCTGCTGGAAGTCCAAGCCCCTCGCACACAAAACCTCCTTTACCCCCTCCCTCCAACCTTTCCTAGGCCGACCCCTACCCCGCCTTCCTTCCACTACAGACTGATACACTCTTGAAGTCATTCTGTTTCGCTCCATTCTCTCTACATGTCCGAACCACCTCAACAACCCTTCCTCAGCCCTCTGGACAACAGTTTTGGTAATCCCGCACCTCCTCCTAACTTCCAAACTACGAATTCTCTGCATTATATTCACACCACACATTGCCCTCAGACATGACATCTCCACTGCCTCCAGCCTTCTCCTCGCTGCAACATTCATCACCCATGCTTCACACCCATATAAGAGCGTTGGTAAAACTATACTCTCATACATTCCCCTCTTTGCCTCCAAGGACAAAGTTCTTTGTCTCCACAGACGCCTAAGTGCACCACTCACCCTTTTCCCCTCATCAATTCTATGATTCACCTCATCTTTCATAGACCCATCCGCTGACACGTCCACTCCCAAATATCTGAATACATTCACCTCCTCCATACTCTCTCCCTCCAATCTGATATCCAATCTTTCATCACCTAATCTTTTTGTTATCCTCATAACCTTACTCTTTCCTGTATTCACCTTTAATTTTCTTCTTTTGCACACCCTACCAAATTCATCCACCAATCTCTGCAACTTCTCTTCAGAATCTCCCAAGAGCACAGTGTCATCAGCAAAGAGCAACTGTGACAACTCCCACTTTGTGTGTGATTCTTTATCTTTTAACTCCACGCCTCTTGCCAAGACCCTCGCATTCACTTCTCTTACAACCCCATCTATAAATATATTAAACAACCACGGTGACATCACACATCCTTGTCTAAGGCCTACTTTTACTGGGAAATAATTTCCCTCTTTCCTACATACTCTAACTTGAGCCTCACTATCCTCGTAAAAACTCTTCACTGCTTTCAGTAACCTACCTCCTACACCATACACCTGCAACATCTGCCACATTGCCCCCCTATCCACCCTGTCATACGCCTTTTCCAAATCCATAAATGCCACAAAGACCTCTTTAGCCTTATCTAAATACTGTTCACTTATATGTTTCACTGTAAACACCTGGTCCACACACCCCCTACCTTTCCTAAAGCCTCCTTGTTCATCTGCTATCCTATTCTCCGTCTTACTCTTAATTCTTTCAATAATAACTCTACCATACACTTTACCAGGTATACTCAACAGACTTATCCCCTATAATTTTTGCACACTCTTTTATCCCCTTTGCCTTTATACAAAGGAACTATGCATGCTCTCTGCCAATCCCTAGGTACCTTACCCTCTTCCATACATTTATTAAATAATTGCACCAACCACTCCAAAACTATATCCCCACCTGCTTTTAACATTTCTATCTTTATCCCATCAATCCCGGCTGCCTTACCCCCTTTCATTTTACCTACTGCCTCACGAACTTCCTCCACACTCACAACTGGCTCTTCCTCACTCCTGCAAGATGTTATTCCTCCTTGCCTTATACACGAAATCACAGCTTCCCTATCTTCATCAACATTTAACAATTCCTCAAATATTCCCTCCATCTTCCCAATACCTCTAACTCTCCATTTAATAACTCTCCTCTCCTATTTTTAACTGACAAATTCATTTGTTCTCTAGGCTTCCTTAACTTGTTAATCTCACTCCAAAACTTTTTCTTATTTTCAACAAAATTTGTTGATAACATCTCACCCACTCTCTCATTTGCTCTCTTTTTACATTGCTTCACCACTCTCTTAACCTCTCTTTTTCTCCATATACTCTTCCCTCCTTGCATCACTTCTACTTTGTAAAAAACTTCTCATATGCTAACTTTTTCTCCCTTACTACTCTCTTTACATCATCATTCCACCAATCGCTCCTCTTCCCTCCCGCACCCACTTTCCTGTAACCACAAACTTCTGCTGAACACTCTAACACTACATTTTTAAACCTACCCCATACCTCTTCGACCCCATTGCCTATGCTCTCAATTGCCCATCTATCCTCCAATATCTGTTTATATCTTACCCTAACTGCCTCATCTTTTAGTTTATAAACCTTCACCTCTCTCTTCCCTGATGCTTCTATTCTCCTTGTATCCCATCTACCTTTTACTCTCAGTGTAGCTACAACTAGAAAGTGATCTGATATATCTGTGGCCCCTCTATAAACATGTACATCCTGAAGTCTACTCAACAGTCTTTTATCTACCAATACATAATCCAACAAACTACTGTCATTTCGCCCTACATCATATCTTGTATACTTATTTATCCTCTTTTTCTTAAAATATGTATTACCTATAATAAACCCCTTTCTATACAAAGTTCAATCAAAGGGCTCCCATTATCATTTACACCTGGCACCCCAAACTTACCTACCACACCCTCTCTAAAAGTTTCTCCTACTTTAGCATTCAGGTCCCCTACCACAATTACTCTCTCACTTGGTTCAAAGGCTCCTATACATTCACTTAACATCTCCAAAATCTCTCTCTCCTCTACATTCCTTTCTTCTCCAGGTGCATACACGCTTATTATGACCCACTTTTCGCATCCAACCTTTACTTTAATCCACATAATTCTTGAATTTACACATTCATATTCTCTTTTCTCCTTCCATAACTGATCATTTAACATTACTGCTACCCCTTCCTTTGCTCTAACTCTCTCAGATACTCCAGATTTAATCCCATTTATTTCCCCCCACTGAAACTCCCCTACCCCCTTCAGCTTTGTTTCGCTTAGGGCCAGGACATCCAACTTCTTTTCATTCATAACATCAGCAATCATCTGTTTCTTGTCATCTGCACTACATCCACGCACATTTAAGCATCCCAGTTTTATAAAGTTTTTCTTCTTCTCTTTTTTAGTAAATGTCTACAGGAGAAGGGGTTACTAGCCCATTGCTTCCGGCATTTTAGTCGCCTCATACGACACGCATGGCTTACGGAGGAAATATTCTTTTCCACTTCCCCATGGACAATAGAAATAAAGAAGAACAAGAGCTATTTAGAAAAAGGAGAAAAACCTAGATGTATGTATATATATATATGCATGAGCGTGTCTGTGAAGTGTGACCAAAGTGTAAGTAGGAGTAGCAAGATATCCCTGTTATATATATATATATATTTTTATATATATATATATATATATATATATATATATATATATATATATATATATATATATATATATATATTTATATAGATGTGTGTGTGTGTGTGTGTGTGTTTACTCACCTATTTGTGGTTGTAGGAGTCGAGACTCAGCTCCTGGCCCCGCCTCTTCACTGCTCGCTACTAGGTCCCCTCTCTCCCTGCTCCATGAACTTTATCATACCTCGTCTTAAAACTAGGTATGGTTCTTACCTCTACTACATCACTTGCGAGACTGTTCCGCTTCCTGTGTGTGTGTGTTTGTGTGTGTGTGTGTGTGTGTGTGTGTGTGTGTGTGTGTGTGTGTGTGTGTGTGTGTGTGTGTGTGTATACTTAAATTATATTTCTGAATGAGTTCGAAACTCTTAATCAAGGCTGGAATATAGACAGTGCTTAAAACAATATATCATTCTTACAGGTGTTGTGTGGAGGAGTAATACAATATAGATTTCTTAATATTTTATTGACAAACAAGAGTATAAAAAGAGTGATAAAAACAAAACTGAGGTCATTACTAAATTATATACATAGAAACAGAGTAAACATGAGAGCTGCGAGAGCGACCGAGTGAGTACATGGGATGAGGTAAGTTTATGAAATTATGAACAACAACAACAACAAAGTGAGGCCTGGCTGCCGCTGGCTGCCTGGCTCTACCACACTGCCAGACTATCATCACTTCAGACGTGTGTCGTGAAGCAATTCGTCATGTGTAGTTTTGATGAGAAGTACTGATGACATGAGAGGTGTGAGGCACTGGTCAGCCTGGGCAGGACGCTCAGGTAGAATGCTAGGGCAGGATGCCCAGACAGGACGCCCGAGCAGGATGCTCAGGCAGGACGCTAGGGCAAGAGACGTGAACCATCTTACCAGTATCCTTCATCTTCTCCTCCACCTCCTTTGCCCTTGCCTTTACCGAAGCCGAAGCCGTCGAAGAGGCCGCCTCCCTTGCCCTTGCCCTTACCATACTCCACGGGAATCTTGTGAACGTAGACTGGCTCGTACCTAACTTTGGGCACGGTGACCAGCTTCCACTCCTGCACGTGGTACACTACTGGCTTCTGCACCATGATGGGTTGAGGGGCGGGGCGAACTATGATGGGTTTCTTTACGTACACTGGGTGGTGTTCTATTACCGGCTTCTGCACCACCACTGGCTTGTACACTTCCACCGGCTTGTACGTCAGAACGGTCTGGTGGGCCGTGTAACCACCATGGCCTTTGTCGCCACCCTTCTTGCCCTTGCCTGGCACCGCCGCCACTGTCGCCGCCGTCGTCAACACCACAACAGCTATCCACGTGATCTGCAATAGTACAGAAGATTCATCTGCATTAGCTCTCATGTATCCTTGTTACAAGTGAACTCCACACTCAACACTTATAACTTAAACATATTTACACTTATACGCTTTATATCATGGGTGAATTTCATTTATTAATTGATTTATAATGTAACTAAACCAATTCTTCTTGCACTGTATGAGGATTTAGAGAAACATAATAAAAGACCTGTTATGTGGCAGAGAAGTAGCCACCCAGTACACAGGTGCCAGCCAGCAGGCACACAGGTGCCAGCCAGCAAGCACCCCGGCACACAGGTGCAAGCCAGCAAGCACCCCGGCACACAGGTGCAAGCCAGCAAGCACCCCGGCACACAAGTGCCAGGCAGCAAGCACCCCGGCACACAGGTGCAAGCCAGCAAGCACCCCGGCACACAAGTGCCAGGCAGCAAGCACCTCGGCACACAGGTGCAAGCCAGCAAGCACCCCGGCACACAAGTGCCAGGCAACAAGCACCCCGGCACACAGGTGCAAGCCAGCAAGCACCCCGGCACACACGTGCCAGGCAGCAAGCACCCCGGCACACAGGTGCAAGCCAGCAAGCACCCCGGCACACAAGTGCCAGGCAGCAAGCACCCGGCACACAGGTGCAAGCCAGCAAGCACCCGGCACACACGTGCCAGCCAGCAAGCACCCGGCACACAGGTGCAAGCCAGCAAGCACCCGGCACACAAGTGCCAGGCAGCAAGCACCCCGGCACACAGGTGCAAGCCAGCAAGCACCCCGGCACACAAGTGCCAGGCAGCAAGCACCTCGGCACACAGATGCAAGCCAGCAAGCACCCCGGCACACAAGTGCCAGGCAGCAAGCACCCAGGCAGACAAGTGCAAGCCAGCAAGCACCCCGGCACACAAGTGCCAGGCAGCAAGCACCCAGGCAGACAAGTGCAAGCCAGCAAGCACCCCGGCACACAAGTGCCAGGCAGCAAGCACCCAGGCAGACAAGTGCAAGCCAGCAAGCACCCCGGCACACAAGTGCCAGGCAGCAAGCACCCAGGCAGACAAGTGCAAGCCAGCAAGCACCCCGGCACACAGGTGCAAGCCAGCAAGCACCCCGGCACACAAGTGCCAGGCAGCAAGCACCCAGGCACACAGGTGCAAGCCAGCAAGCACCCAGGCAGACAAGTGCCAGCCAGGAGGCTGGAATTTGTAGGAGAGGTTAAAGTAATAGGAAGGCATGGGCTACAAACTACGACTACTTCCCAGTACTGCTGCTACAGTAACGTATGTTACTCAGGTACCACAGAACTGTGTGCAGTGGCTTTTACTTGAATTACCACTGGTTCAACATCTAGATACTGTGATGCTGGTGGATACGAACAATTTTAAACCATGAACAGCTTCGGAGCAAACGCCAGGATCCCAGTGGCCGCTGCTGTGACTACCACAACCACAACTACCTCTATTTCTACCACTATTATTGCCATACCCTTGGTAGCTCATTATTAACTGTTCATCTTGATGTAGTTGCTAAATTAACATTAAGAATTCGTTGACTACAGTTCCCCACCAGCAAAGTATCTAGTTAAAACCTATGTTTACAAAGTTCCTGACCAACTGGTTCTTAACTGACTGTACTGTCTTCGCACTTACAGTTTCAGTAGTAGTTTGTGTCATGTTGCTATAATTCTGTTTGTCCTCCCCCCAAAAAAAAGCTTTAAACAGGCTCGTCTTACATCTCAAGCCTCAAAGTTCCATTTAATCGTTTCTGAGTTACAGACTCACTCTGCACTTCATACAGTTCTTCGTGTTTCAGTGTAACAAAACCATACGTTTCAGTGAGATCGCCCCGCAGCCTACGTTTGTCAACACAGAAAAGCTGAAGTAATGTGAGTCTTCTCTCCATTCTCTCAACCGATCTTTACTTTTTATGTAAGTAGGAGACTCACACTGGGCTCATATTCAAGATGCTGTCTTAACAAGTATATTATGTGGATTCAGTATGTTTTTTCCTGCTTTGTTCTCGAAAGTATACTTTTGGCTTTGACGTTCGCAGCTAGATACTGTTTGGCAATTTTGAGGTCGTTGGTACGATTACATTAAGATCATTTGCTACCAAACAAACACTTTGTACTCATATTTGAGATAGTTATATTCAATTATGTCTTATTTCGTTCTTCATCTTCCGAGAGAGAGAGAGAGAGAGAGAGAGAGAGAGAGAGAGAGAGAGAGAGAGAGAGAGAGAGAGAGAGAGAGAGAGAGAGAGAGAGAGAGAGAGAGAGAAAGAGAGTAGTAGGTTCAAGGCTCTCAATCTATCTTCGTATGGAAGGTTCCCCATACAATGGATAAATTATGCCTTGTTTAGATATCCTTATTACTGTATTTATATATCCAAGCTTCGCGTATAGTATATTTGTTGTCGTGTCAGTAGTGCAACATGTCGTTGAACCTTTTGCTCATCTCTGAGTAATTCCTTTCAGACACAGATGACACAGTCTCTCAGTAGTACCAGTTCCTAGTAACCAGTTACCAGTAGATGACTCACTACCAACCGTCTGTGTGAATCACTGACTGTTATTCTTGTTGCTGCTGACCATAGCATATTTTTGAATGCCTTACCCACTAGGCACTGGTGAGTCAGTCTGAGATAGGGAGCAGAGAGAGGCAGGTCGGCTGTTGGCGCTTCCCATACTTCCCGTTATATATTATACGTACAAACCAGCCTACGTGAGTATTTTTACCCCATCCACGTTATCGAACCCACATCACAAGTCGACTTTGGTGAATCCAGAGTTTAATACCTCAAACATGACACACTGCGTGTGCAAGCGTGTGAAGTGTTACTTGAAGAAGTGGATTGTATGAACTCGTGGCAAAATGCGGTTTTAGAAAGGCCAATAGGTGAAGAGCGAGGGTAATTACTGACACGAACACGCACACGAACAAAAACTCATGTACATGACCGCGAAGACACACACACATACACACGCACCCAAGAGTATGTGTGAACCCATGACGGAAGGGATACTCAGAAGTGTCCCTGTTTGCAAACGATGTGAAGCTAATGAGGAGAATTCAATCGGTTGAGGATCAGGCAGGTCTACAAAGAGACCTGGACAAGCTGCACGCCTGGTCCAACACTGGCTCCTGGAGTTTAACCCCACCAAGTGCAAAGTCATGAAGACTGGGGAAGGGCAAACAAGACCGCAGACAGAGTACATGCTAGGGGGCCAACCTGCAAACCTCACTCAAGAAAAAGGATCTTCGGGTGAGTATAATACCGAGCACATCTCCTGAGGCACACATCAACTAAATAACTGTTGCAGCATATGGGCGCCTGGCAAACCTAAGAATAGCGTTCCGACACCTCAGTCAGGAATCGCTGAAGACTCTGTACGTCAGTTTGGAGCCCACACCTGATCACACACGTCAAGAAATTAGAGAAAGCGCAAACGTTTGCAACAAGACTAGTCATGGAGCTAAGGGGCATGTCCTACGAGGAGAGGTTAAGGGAAATCGACCTGACAACACTGGAGGAAAGGAAGAATAGAGAGGACATGATAACAACATATAAAATACTGAGAAGAATTGATAAGGTTGATAGGGACAATGATTCAGAGATGGGACACAACAATAAGGGTTGCAACTGGAAGTTGAAGACTCAGATGAGTCACAGGGATATTAGGAAGTATTTCTTCAGTCGCTAAGTTGTCAGGAAGTGGAATAGTCTGGAAAGTGATGTAGTGGAGGCAGGATTTATACATAGCTTACGGAGCAGGGAGAGTGACCTAGTAGCGACCAGTGAAGAGGAAGGGCCAGGAGCTATGAATCGACCCCCGCAACCACAATTAGATAAGTATACACACACACACACACACACGTCAATACAAACACAGGAGAAACTAAAGAATTATACCTGACAGAATTAGATGACAGAAGGACCAAGGAAGACATGGTAACAAACTATGAAATACTCAGAGAAAATGATAGAGCGGACAGGAATAGGCTGTTTGAGAGGCGGGAAACAGGTACACAAGAACATATTTGGACATTAAAAAAATACAGATGAGTCACAGGAATACAGAGATTTATTTCTTCAGCTCCCGAGTGATTAGAAAATGTAAGAAAGTGGACAACAAGTGGAAGAGGCAGGATATATACACAGTTTTAAAAATAGGCATGATAAGTATGGCAATTTAGGAGGCAGGAGTCAAGACTGGTTAAATGCAAACTAGAGAGTACACGAATATGCAAACACAGATGAACGCACACGTTGATCATTACAAGGATAGTTTATGTAAGAACAATAACATCGTTCTTTAGAACCAGTGATCTCGTGTAGAAGAGACGAGCAAGAAGTTCTTATTAACATAAATTTTCTAGGAGTAAGACTGGATCGTAAAGATTCAAGTGCTGAGACATTATACTTAAGTCGAGAATAAATACTCAGTGGGTTAGCATGAGTGTGTTTTTCCCGGGGCCGGGGCAGAATATTTTTTAGCAGGAATAGAGAAGATTGTGACTGTGTTTCCATGGTGCTTGGATGGAAGAATAGTCATCAGTCTAGATAACATATCAGTAACAGTAAAAAACAAATTATTTGCTTCCGTGCTAAAAGTAGTGATGTAGGGAAGCACATAGTAAGGATTTTCTAAATATGCAACAGTTAATGATAAAACCAGATGAGAGAGAGAAGGATCCCAACCACATGCCTCATTTTGTTCTAAAGAGGAACAGGCAGTGTATGTATGGTCGAGCAGGGTAGGGAAACTACAATATCATTCGTTGACAATATGGTAATGACATCTATCCAGATAATGAACTATCTTTGTAACGCTAGAGTGGAAGCATTTGCTAATTTAGTCATGAAACAACTGCTAGACTGACAGATGTTTCTTAAGAGGTATTGGTGTTTACAGGGCAAGATAGAGAAATAGAAAAAAACGTATGTATATGAGGTAGCACTTGAAGGAGCAAAGGAAATGCTTTAACAAGAGAGGAGAATTCAGAGGTCCAAATACAAAA